ATTTTCAAATTAAATTAAGTTGTTTTCGAGTAATAACCTTTTCAGAATTGTTTATAAATAAGTTTCTAATTTTTATTATATACTCATATTTTATTTGTAACAATGCGTATCCTATCAAGTAATACTAATTATTAGTAATTCAATAAATAATTTTCTAGAAACTTTGTAGGGTTCACTTGTTTTGTCTAATGTAAACGTCAAGAAACCTAATGGACTGTTTAGCAACTTATCGCTGAGTTCAAATAACAAAAGATGTAGATTCAAAAAAGTTAAACTACCTTTAAAACAAAAGTTTAGGTGGTTCTATAAAAGCTGTAAATGTCATTTTAATTTTCTAACCAATTATTTTAATTAAGATACAATAGCACGCCGAACAAATATTAAATTAGAAGACAAACAACAAAATCAGCGTTATATTTTCAAATTTTCACAGGAATAGTTTCGATGGTTTTACCGAACCATCATCCTCAGCTGCAAAAGCGCAAATGAACTCAAGGACTCAAGGACCCCATTCCGGATATGAATTTCTGGGGTATTTACAGGATTCCTTGACAGTGTGGCTTAATTTACACTGGCCAAAGTAAGAGAGCCTTAAAATTTCGTGTTAAGGAACATGAGGCATATACTTCTGTTCCCCAACATTGCTAGTCCGAAAATCACATTTTCAATATTTCTGCTGCCAAAATTATTCAAAGAAAAATCTTCCATTGATGAACTTGATTTTCTAGAGGCATTTCACGTTCAAAAAAATCTTTCTGTTCCAGTTAACGACCCTAATTCCAATCCATCTTTGCCTTCAGCCTTTAAAGAAATTATGTTTTAGTTCTGGTTTCATCAACAAATGGCGCCAGTGGCTTTTCACCCTTCCAGGCTTTCTTATCTTATCTAATCAATATATCTTATCTCGTTCATTTGCGCTTTTGCAGCTGAGGATGATGGTTCGGTTAAACCATCGAAACTAGTCCTGCGAAAATTTGAAAATGTAACGCTGATTTTTGTTGTTTGACTTCTAAATTAATATTTGTTCGGCGTGTTACTGTATCTTTATTACCCTCATTATTTCATTCAAAGAAAAACAACAGCTGATCCCTTTCTCGAGCTTACCACAAGGCTGCCACTCGAGCTTTGAAGTCAAAATAAGAAATAAGAACTAAGCTATAATTGACTAAGAGAGACTTAGCAGAAGTTAAATACAAGCATGTAAAGTAATTGGCTCTTAATTTGAACTAGCTGGCGAATATCAAAAGCCACGTAATAATACGGCTGAGCGTAACAGCCTCAAGAGAGAATTAGCCCGAAGGCAAACACCCGCTACTCAGGATTCCTAGCTCTCTCTCGCGAAGTACGTTGAACATTCTTTAAATACTACTTCTAACTCATTTGCATTTAACGTGGTTCTGAAACCTCATTCTGGCAGGGAATTGTAATAGGAAACAAGATCTAATAGGACAGCACTTTGAAATTAAATTAACTGTTATAAAATTAAAATATACCTTACAAATTTACCAGATAAAAAAGTTTCATGCAAATTGTTAAGATTATTTTACTGTACTTTGCCCAACATTTCAAAACAATCATCGAATAAAAATAAAAAATAAAAACAAAAATGTAAAACCACTGTAATAAAGATACTGAAAAAGAAAAGAGAAGGGAAGCAACAATGTAAATTTTATAAAACAGTTTAAATGTACTATGTAATCAATATTTTCTCTTTAGGATATTTTCGTTATGTATGTAGAGAAATATTTTTGTCACATTAGCAATGTTTAATATCATATAATTTAGCTTGCTTATAGAAGACAGATTAGAACAAATGAATTAGTGACACAAATAATATACTACTTCTCGAAATATTTTTAATGCATTTTACATATCTACAAAAACTTAAATTTTTGCCAGTGTAACAGTTTTCAACAATTTTCCCAATGAAATTGAAATATTTGCATATATATGTATATTTATATATGTATACTGTATATCGAGAACATTTAATTCAGATACGATGGTTACCCGTACTTTACAAATTATTTTGCAAGTATGAAATCGAGAATAGCAACTCTTACAACAATCTCAGTCAACTAATTAAGAAGAAATAGGTTTACGTGATAATTTCTTAAAGTACACAGATCACGGGTAGTCGCAAGCTACCGAATCAGTTATTTTAACTACCTAAGTGTGCAAGAAGTTAGACTGAAAATTAGCACATTTGGAGAAAATGTTACGTCATGCTTTGGGCTCAGGGAATTAGTAGTGAGGCTTTCTCTGTTCCTCGTCTCAAATTTCTTGGTTCTAAATAATCAATGTAATTTTTAGAGTCGACTCGTGATTAAACGGTGTAATATCAGGGACTATATACTAGGTTTAAAGTAAAGTAAGTAAAAAAGAAATTAGAATAACACACATTGTAATTAACGCAAACTGCTATTAACAATTTACTTTGTATTTTAAAGTAATTTTTTTTCTAAGTTTGTTTCGTTACGTAAATTAAATCAGCATTAGAAACAAAATGGACGCACTGTAAATATCAGAAACAATATATATGCAGTAAATATTTAAAGAAAACAATACATATTATTATTAAATATTGAAGACTCTGTATGTATGCATATACCCCTTGCATTATAAAAAACGACGGCACATTACAACCACCAAATGTTTTTGAACACATTTAGTCCTCCAAACGAACATATGCACCTCGAAGCCTAGCTTCTGAATTTCGAATTGTTCTATTAATTTCATATTTTGTAAGAATTTAATTAATTTTTATCGAACAAACTCAACGATTTAAAAGCGAGCAACGGCAACACTATTCGAAATAAAATATTTTTATCTCTAGCGTACCAAACTGTTTGCCATTCGGCAAAATGTAAGACAGTCTTAAAGTATTAATCAACGACTCGGCTATTTAGAAACAATGTGTTACCGCTGCTTGAAATAAAAGTAATCTTATCTGCATGTGGCAGCGTATTGCCATTCGGCAAAGCATAAAATATTTAACTTCTATATTTAATTTGTCTGTTATAGAGTAACAAAAGAAGTGATCTAAACGTAATAAACGTTATTCTTAAGAATGCTTTTAATATTTTTTTAAACTGATTGGTTTAAACAAAAGTGCATTTAAATCATGAGATATCTAATTAGATATATTGAACATTTTTATGACAGGAACATTTCATGGGCTCATTAAAATGATTATATATTTTCTTCATAATTTTTGGTACGTGTTTCAGAAAGCTGTTTGCTCCGGCGGCTAGTATTTATAACAGAGCTTAAGCATTCATACTCAGTTCAAATTCGCATAAAAAAGTCGATTATAAGATGCTTTTTGGAAACATTCCTCTGGCTAGCGTTGAGAAAATCTAACGCATAGTCATTTTCCGTATTTTGTATATTATCCGTAGACACGTTTTTAATGCTGATGATCTATTATAGTGGTTTTCTCTTCATTCAGCCCTTAAACTTTATTTTTAGGTAAAGTCCAATTAATCCACCATCGGTTTAATCTGCCTCCAATTAATCTGGAACTGACTGTATTTCATTGGTATCATATCATATATTAGGATTAGTATAAACAATATTTTGCTGGGTATTAAACTAGTAAGTTAATTTTATAACTTTTAAAAATATTCAATTTCGTAAAAAATATTTTAAGAACAAATTTAGGGGGAAAAACTGTTAGTAAAGCAGGCGGTAAAGTTGCACACTTTGATAATAGTTTCCCATCGTTCTTCAGTCAAAATTTTGGACGACGGTAGAAATAAATTAAAGAATAATTTTTACTACTTATTTTTAACTTATATTTATTTTTGGAATATTTAAGCACTATTTGTTTTTTTCTAATTTCAGAGGACGGTATTTTTAACAGATTACTAAATTCTAAGGCTAATATACGCCATACTGAAGCTAAAGATTTTCTGCAGAGGACTAATTTCTAAAAATTCGTAGCGCTGTCTTATTGTCGTAGCGCTTGTTGCAACCTGCAACATCTTATTGCAGAACTAATCTTTGAATTTTTATAATTGTATAAATATAATTTTGCTGAATACGTTTCAATATATTAAATATGCGCTTAATTAATATGGAGAAGACTAAGTGTATTAGATATTTAAGTATAACTTTAAAAATGATTCTTGTTTTAAACAATGTTAAATTAAGAATAAATTATATTTCCAGAATTGTAAGCAACTAAGCTTGAAACATAAGCTGTCTGATATAAATCAGCTTTCAAATGCGCTCGAAGAAACGCACATTCATTTGAATTATTGCCTCAAATGATGTGAAGAAAATAAATAACAAACTAAATTTTCAAGAAATCCTTTTACAAAATGAAGCTGAACTCTTTATCTTAGTATTTTACAATTTAAATATATTTTAGTGTCTTTAAATTAATATATCATATATTTACATGTAAAGAAAATAATATAATTATCAGCTTCTGCGACTAACATAGCATATTGATGCGACTAGAAATGTTATACTTACAGAGACGGCAAAAGAGAAGTTGAAACAAATATCTAAAAATTAACCTGAAGTAATAAGTATACTTTTCTGAAGATTTAAGTGTTTTTTCAACTTTTTTGTTTACCTTTAGAAAATTATTTCTACACTAAGCATAGGAATTGCCTAGCAATGCACACGAAAATAATACTTGTAAAGTTTCAGTTAATTACATTTTTTTTTCTGTAATGCAATGATAAATGTAATCTAACATAGTTCTATTTACCAATCAAAATATTTTTAATATAGCAAGTACATATTTTGTAGTTTCTGTTTGGCTAAATATACGTTTATCATTGCATTACAGAAAAAAAAATGTAATTAACTGAAACTTTACAAGTATTATTTTCGTGTGCATTGCTAGGCAATTCCTATGCTTAGTGTAGAAATAATTTTCTAAAGGTAAACAAAAAAGTTGAAAAAACACTTAAATCTTCAGAAAAGTATACTTATTACTTCAGGTTAATTTTTAGATATTTGTTTCAACCTTCTCTTTTGCCGTCTCTGTAAGTATAACATTTCTAGTCGCATCAATTCCTATAACATGCCAATATAGTTATAAATCCGGAGTTTATTTTTGATTTTATGAACTGACTTGTTTCTTAGTTTTTAGTGTAATTTGTAATGAAAACACAATTCAAAATTTATGATATTGATATATTAATGTTTAATATTAATATCCATAAATTAAATTGTGACTGATATTGCTATTGCTACAAACTGAACAGCCTTTTTAAGGGCATATTTTCAGGAGAAAATCGAAATAAAAGCATTTTCATAAAACATTAATAAGTGAATATAAGTACAAAAAATATAAAGGAAATAAATAAAGTAAGTAAATAACAGCATATTAACTATGTTTTCTTCTTAAAGGCACACATAAAGAGCAGTTAAGTAATGCAGTTAGAAGGAATACTAAACTGCTTATGATAAAAAAGCTAAATCGATTACTGAGGGTATTATAAATTTAAAACAGAGACAGGAAAGTAACTGTGATTTAAACGAGTGCAAACATGCAGGATAGGAAATTGAAATATGTAGTAAAATATAGCGGTAAATAATATGTTTGCGAATATCTGAAGTGTGCATGTAACACCAAAAAGTATATCTGAAAAATGTTCCAGACATGGAAAAATAAATAACACTTAGAGCAAAAAATACGTTAGCGGAGATTTTGAATTTGTAAATTTTAAAAATGTGTTGTGCAGCATGTATGACATTTGGCCGCGTGCGCTGCTTTCGCAATGTAATAAAATACTCGCTCTTCTCTTAGAAATCTTCCTTTTGTGAATGCTTATTTTGCAGCTATATTAAAAAAATAAATAAAAGTAACCCTATCTTCTTTATAACTGAAATGAAATCCGCCAGAGAAAGTATAAGGTAAAAGGCTTTCAATAATACATGCCTTAACTTGATATAGATAGAAGATAATGAATAACGTGTTGATAATAGAAAAAACATAAAATCTGTCTGGCACAGTAGTATATATCATTATGACAAGTTAAGCATAAAGGCATGTATTAAAAGAGAACTTTCTATGTAACTGCTACTATTCTTGCATCACTATGTTGAAAACAGTTTGCACCTATAAACATGTATCTAAATAACATAATGAAACATATAATACACACAAAATGTTCATAAATTTAAACCATATATTAATCAAACTGTATGTAAATTTATGATGAATTTATGTATATGATGGTGTAAATCTAGAACCAGATGAAATGCTAAACATATTGGTGCAAAAATAGGTGAATATTCTATTACATTTATACAGATAAAATAACAAAGTACACATTTATACGTAGAATATGGAAGGATTTATAAGTATTCATAACAAAGAATATAATGAAATGACCCTATTTCTTTAACTACTACAATTGAACTAACTATACATTAAAAATTGAGGAACAAGCAAAAGCTTTAGTTTAAATTTCAAAGTATTTCACGGGTGTATCTGGTAACCAGTTTAAAATAACTTATGTGGGGAAAATAACTTATTTTTAAAATGTAATTTAAAAGCTACTTTGTGCTCATAAAAATGTATGAAAATTTTTTTAAACCACTTTCCTCAAAACTACAACTACTGAACACAATTTCCTTTATATTTACTGCTAATTCTCAAGTAGTTAATAACATTTACTAAGATAAACATCTATACAAATTTAAAGATAACGTTTAAAAGTTACATTCTCATTATTTTGTATTTCGTATAAATTTGTCAAAATAGTATTATAGTTCAGGATTAGTAAGCAATGATATGACATTTAAATTCAGGCTTTATTTTTAAGAATTAAAATTATAAAATAAACAAACTGATGAGTTAAGCAAATGGCTTTAATAAATGCAATATCAACTGAATTAGTTATATCAGAAAATTGTTATTTTTTCAGTTATTAGTTATATTAGTTATATCAGTATTTTATTCTCATAAAATGTTACTTAACATACATAAGTACGATATCTACTAATTACAATTCAGATTTTAAAATTAAGTACTAGAACACCTTTCATACGATTATAGCATAACTTTTAATTACATGAATTGTTAATAAGTTACGTGAATTGGTATACAATTTTTATGCTAAACAAGAGTTATAAGAAATGAGACAGAATAAGCCGAATGTGCAACATTATTTTCATATATAGCAGCATAATACTTCATGTTTTACAAAATATTTGTTCTTAAAGCAACTGTTTAAAAGAAATCTGTCTTGAAATTATTGTTTTAAAATTTGACTAGTCTACAAAAATCATTTTTATTTTCTTCCTTCTAATTTATCCATATAAATTAGAAATTTATAAGGATAAATTAGAAAATGATATTGGCTTTACTTACATCTTTAGTTTCATTTAATTGTAAGGATTATAAAAAATTATCTTTCTATCTTATTGTAACTTGTCTTATACATATGCCTATGAACATTAATTATGTTTCATTTTTCTATCAATTAATTATGTTGCTTGTTTATTTCTGTTTATCGAGCAAAATTTTAAATTATATACTCGTTAGGCGGGTAGTTTTTCCTTTCTTAGAATAAAAAAATGATCTTAGAAATGATTCAGACTTGTTGAAAAGACGCATGATCAAACAATTACTTCAGTTAACCATATTTTCAAATACAACTTCAAAATTAAATATTTTTAAATACACCAAAGCAATGTTTTTAAAAACATTAACGCATTCATGTATATAACTTTCGTATAAGTACATAACGAGTAACTGCATTTCCATTGAGAACAAATCAATTTTATAAAGAAGCAGAACAATTAACAGTTTACAATTATATACAGAGAAGGCCTCACGAAGATAAATCGAATGCATAGATAAGTAAACTTTACACATTGGCACATAATATCACCATCTTTGTCTGATCAGAAATCCGGTTATATATATTGTCTCAATTCTAAAAATTGCATTTGTATCCCTTATAATATTTTAACACAATGATATAGATTATAATAATTAAAAGTAAAACAAACCGAGAGATCAAACCTGTAATTGTGTAATGTAATCATTAAACTTTATGTTTGTAAAACTACGGGTGTCCCATTCACACATTCATTACAATTGTAACGTCCGTCTCCACAAATGTGTGAGAAATAGTTAATTAAAATTAATAAAGTTTTGTTATAATATCTATGAAACTGTATAAAGGATTGCATTCTGACCACTTAAAATGTAGACAATTTCTTAGTTTATAAACTGTAAGCTACCGAGAATTTACACCACATTCATATTAGAGAATATTCAAGTCTGATACCACAGACGCATTTAACCGACTCTAGAAATTGTGCTTTCAATACATAGTAATATCTTACATCACATATATGTTAATTTTAATACCTCACATTTAAAGTAATACCCATATTTTATATAGATAAAGTGAAAAGATTATGCATGTAAATGCTAAACTATATAGCTCTCAACCTAGATCACAAACAATAAAAATGCACAAATGCAAATCATGAATCTCTGAAAACAAGTGGTTATACTGCAATTTCAGAAATGTAATTATGTTTTCATAAAATTCTGAGACAAAAGAAGTGAGCACAAAGACTAATACTTTTAAAACAGTAAACGTAATACGTTAATTGTGCAGGAAAATTTATTTCTAACGCAGAAGGATTCTCTTGGGAATATTGAAAATACGATGAAAACAACCATCTGCACAGCATTAAAATATTTGATGATGAACGTCTTAAATTTGCTAAATTATTGTATTTCTGTTTCATCTAGAGTCGACTGCGTCATTATGAAATAGAATTGATAGTAAAGGGTTCTGGGATCTTTCAAATTCTTTAGAAAACCATAAATTAGAAATTATATGTATCTTATTTTGAACCTCCTAGCTTTCTCAGAGTATTCTAATAGTTCTGTATTGCTGGATATATTTCTGCTAATAAGTAACCATCGCTCTGAGAATGATGTATGAAACCAGCTGTTCTAAGAAACATACCTTGCGTTTTTTAATCAATCTATTTTGATATATATATATCCAAACTGAATGCATATGTCATGCTTCAAGTTTCATATAATGCCTGTGTGAGGCATAAAAATTAAAAAAAAAAATTCGATTTTTCCCAATCGGTAAGGCAGATGTTTACAGATTTGAAAATTAAATATCTGTTAAAGATGGATGAAGACAGATACTTCAGGTGCGTATATGCTATTTTTTTTTTAATTTCATGTTTGAAAATTAGCACCCAATATTTAGCCGTTAACAAAAATTCGTAGCAAATGTATTAATAAGAGCAAGGTGTTATTGGTGTTTGAAATTGAGGGTAAACATATGATCATAAATTAATCCGAATAATATTTTCGTGTTATAAAAAAGGTCGAAATTTAATATTCAGTTTCTGTAAAATCTGAAACAGTAGAAAAAGAACATTTTCCCATTATTTAGCATTTGTAATATCTTGTACTGTTTTATTTGCAGGAGAAGTTGTAACCGGTATCTTTTAGAATAAGTTTTGGATATGAAAAAATCCAACCTATCCGTTTATAAGAATTATTTATTTGTAAATGTTTACGCAAATTTAAAATCTCAAGCATTTTTTTTATGAAGGCGAATTATAAAAATTAGTAATTTCATATAAATGGGACACCCTGGAAGTTATATTTGCAGATAGAAACAAACATTCGTAAAAGACTAAATTTTGCCTAAAAATAAAATAAGAAATCGTGATTTTCCAGTGATTTTAAGTTTTCAACGAATGTTCTTAAAATCTAAATTGTTTTATTTACTCTAATTATTCTAAATATGAATATAAAAATTCATTTTCACTCCTTTAAAATCTACAACCAATCCCAATCCACAATATCCTTTCTCACTATAACGTTTCAGTGAGCTTTAGTTCCTGTACAGGATTTTGGCAGTTTTCTGAGCCACAATTAAATACAGTACTTAAACATTTACAATGAATTCCTAGAAAATCAGAACTGCTATTCAATTCGTGAATCGGTATATTTTGCTATTAACTGCACCGTGTAAATAGGACTTTGGCAAAAATATGGCTTTCCCAAGTCCAGATGTCAAAATTATTGTCATACACTAAATACACAAAATCATCCTTTCATTCTCAATTGTTTTGTGACTATTTCATGTATAGTGGCACCAGCATATTTTGAGCTGACCAAGGAGTGTGAGCAAGTCAAAGACGAATCCCCTACACTCCAGTTCCGGATCTAACCGGTTCTTGTCGAAGGTATAACTGGTGTAATATTGTAACCAGAGGCACTTGTTCGGGATAGATTCTCGTTTCGATGTTAAGCCCAACTGAGCGGACACCGAAGGCTAAAACAGTGGAGTAGCTCTGAAAAAAAGGAATATGAAAAATTATAAAGTCAAGACAATGTTTAAAATAACAACAAAACAAAAAAAAACAGAGAAACTTAAAATTACAGAAAATGACTCCAAAAGTTTCAGAGCTGCATATAAATGCCCATGATAATTTTAAAATTCTTTTGACTAATATTTTGTAAAGAGAAAATTTTCACTTTATTATTGATTTATTTCTTAAGTTCTACTATTATTATTACTTTTTTTGTTTAGTTTTAGTCATGTAAACCCAGATGTTAAATTTTCTATATTCTTCCCTAATTTTACTCATAGCAAAAGTATGATTAATGTCTTAATGCAAGAAACGAGATACACAATAAGATGGCATAAAGAAAAAAGAAATGCGTTTTCAATGTTGGCTGAAAAAGGGTGATACATTAGTAATTCAAGTTTTTGTAACTTTTATGCACAATAATTATAGCATAAACGTTTAATCCAATTTTAGTTCAAAAAGTTTGAGTAAACATCAAAATATTGCTATCATGATATGAGGTATTTCTCCCACTTTCCTAGCGTGCCTTCGTGGTGTAGTGGTTAGCACACTGAGCCGGTATGTCAGAGGTCCATGGTTAGATTCCCGGCGAAAGCGTTGCTAATTTTTCCTCTTACCTGCTTCCCAAAAATGCCTAATGTCTGTACTGTGGCGCCCAAACTAAAAGGGTGGCCGATGATGATTTCTCCCCACCCTGGATCTGGCGATTGGGTCCCCTAAAAACACCATTCGCCCTTTAAAAGGGGTATTATATAAGGTATTTCTCTCACTTTCCTAGCGTGCCTTTGTGGTGTAGTGGTCAGCACACTGAGTAGGTATTTCATAGGTCCGGGGTTCGATTTCCGGCGAAGGCGTTGCTAATTTTTCATCTTGCCTGCTTCCCAAAAATGCCTAATGTCTCTACAATGAAAGCCTAATGTCCCAATGGCTCGTAAATAAAGTTCTTTATTCAGTTTTCTCCTTCTCCCGCCAACTGTACGCCATTATATCTAAGTAATAGCACATTCTAAAATGGTGCTTCTAAAATTAATCTTTCTAGCAGGTTGAGATTACTAAAAGATTTTTATGTTGAAATTATGGAAAGGAGATTCAATATGATAGCACAAACGAAAATATATTATTGAGTTGACCAGAATATAAAACGGCTTAGCAAATAAGATAAACGTATGCATATTAACAAGTCCTTAAGTACACTGCGAAAAGAAAAAGGGACAGTTCTATATTTCCCGTTCTACTGGGCCGATTGATGAAATTCAAATTGCGTTTTTCATGTCTCGAAAGCGCTACTAGGATATATATTAGATTTATATATAGCATCATTCTAACATAGGTATTTTGACACAAAATCGGACTTTTTCTAAAATGACACGCCGATTGTTTTTCCATATTTCAATTCTACGACGCAAATTATGTCTCAATTTTAAACTTTGTAAAATTTCGTGCGAAATTTACGGAGAAATTCAAAAATTTATATTGGAGCATTTTTTTTTCAGTTTGCGCCAACAATAAATAACTTGACGAACTTCTTAATTGGCAACCAATTTTCATTTCCTTTCCATTATGCCGGAGCGGAAAAAAAGGCACCTGGGTCCTACCTTTTTACATTGTGTATGAGCAGAAAAAGGTCAAATCGTTACTACTTTCAAATCATTTTAGCAAAGTGTCTAAAGCACATTTAATGTTTTTCGCTTTCAACAAAGATGCCAAATTTCAAAAAGCACCAATATATAAATTCACATATATCTTCGGAAATTTTGCATAAAAAATGTCATTTTTTGCAGGTATGCTTAGAAATATATCTACTTTAAGGTGATGGTAAAACTTTTATAGATTATAATTCAAAATTGTTTTGAAATATTTATAAAAATTATTTTAATAATACAAATTAAAAAAATAAATCATAAAAAATGGGTGAATTTTATTTGGAATGAACCTGAATTTCGGAAAGTGAAAGGAAGAATCAAATAAGTTTAATAAAAAAAAGAGAGATTAATAAATATATACCAAACTCAATCAACATTGAGGAGCTAAAATTTCGAGAGCTGAATTTTTTAAAAACTACTTCTGCGATTTTTACAAAACTTGGTAGTTTGGCGTAATTTGAGTCATAGAATGGAAATATGGGAAAAATTAGTGTGTGTTTGAAAAAAACCGATTTTGTGTCAAAATACCTATGTTAGAATATCTAAATCTAATACATATCCTAAATCGCGCTTTCGTGAGATGAGAAACACAAGTTGAGTTTCGTCAATCGGCCCAGTAGAACGGGAGATATAAAACTGTCTTTTTTTTCCTCGCAGTGTATCTAAACCTTATATATGAAGAATAGCATATGATATATAGGATAAGAAAAATAATTACGTCTGTTTAATAATATAGTTTAAGGTCAGCAAGTGAAGCGAAAAACATACGTTCTTGAAAATTTAAAGAATAATTTACAGATTATCTTAATATATTTTTAAATATTGGACAATGAATTTTAATACAGATATATGTCTATAGGAGAGAAAAATAGTAGTTTTTATCTTGTATTCCTTGCTGCCTCTATCCGTCACTATGTATGTATTGGATCGAAATGTTAGCATTCTTGACCGACGCATATCTCGTTTCTCAGAGCACTTAATTCCTAATTACCACCAAATATGTTTCTTGCTTATGCCTGTTAAAAGTTTTAGGAAGATGCATAATTGTTTAATCAAATAAATTTTCGTGAATTTCTGTCAGTGTAATTTTCGATTATACTGATATCCCGCATTTTTTATTTGTTTTTCAGTGATTATTTAAATTTAAAAGTGTCTATGTAAAATGGACTAAACATTAATTGCTAACATTTAAATTTAGCGTTATTTTGGAAAGGTTTAAAACACTTTTGTAAGATTACTTCAATTCAGATATTCAATGACGTTAACCTTTTAAGTTTCTTAATTATTAAAGTAAATTTACTAAACTTATTATTTTAGGATTTTAATAAAAATGATTTATGTTATTATTTTAGGACATTCATTCAACTAAATTTATTTATTTTTTATTACTCAAGGTTATTTACTTACATATGTTTGTCAAGTGAATTTAGTTATTTATCCATTACTGAAGTGAATTTATTTACATTTCAAGTGAATTTAAAATACTTACATAGGATATTCACTCAAGTGAATCTTAATGTGAGCTGTCTCTCGGGGACGGGAAATGCTGAAAAACAATCATTAAACAATTTATTGAAAGAAATAAATTGATTGAATTGCATTAAAAATAATTGTTATATAAATCAAATTGTTACAAATAATGGTTTATATGAACTTGTTAAAGACTATATTTAAAAAGACAGGAAATTTTCAACCCAAACTAATGTTTCAAATGGAAAAGTTAAAGCTATAGTTTTAAATTCCTTAAGTAACGAATATTTAAAATAATTAACGTTTTAAATATTTTTGTAATTTTCTTTGACAGAGATATAGTAAAGTTTTCTTTATTATGTTTCATTTTTAGTATACTTGAACATGAATACATATTTTGTTTTATTATGACTGGCTCTTGTTTCAGTGTTACATCAAAATTCATATTAGATTTTATTCAAAAGTAATGTTTTGCTCCTATTTAGAGGATGCGGCATAATTGAAATACAGAAATGAAAAAACGTTTTTTCGTACGACAATTTGCATTCTGAGCACAAATATCTATTTTATTTTCTAAACTTGGCTCTTATTTAAAAATTACAACAAATCCATGTTAAATTTTAATATCCTTAAGGGATGTTTTAATCGTATGTTAAGAATTCTGCATAACTAAAATAAAGATCTCCTAATTTCGCGTAAGTAAACTTTTCTTGTTTCAGAAATAATGACATGTATTTTACACTTACAAGTATTTTCTCGACATATGCACAAAAATTGTTTGGCTTATTCACGCACATATAAGGAATAAATTTTATTAGCTCTTCAACACAAAAGATTTAACACACTCCCAGAACAAAAATTTAGAGCATCACAAAACTCTTTAGACATATGGTTACGATGCTCTACAGTAGAGTTTCTTAAACTGTGGGTCGAGACCCCCGGGGTCGCGAGACCTGCAGCAGGGGATTGCCAAAAATTTTAGCAGTTTTGATATATTTTCAACTTATAATAATTTTACAATTACCAAATGCTTTTACACAATGTATCTGAAAATAGATAAAAATAAGACAATACAGACAAATGAAAAACGTAAACGTTTCGACGCATTTTTTTTTTTTTTATAAAATAAACGTCAATTTTACTTGCTTTGCACGGGACGGTGTCATCTCGTCTGTTACTTATTTAAAATTTTCACATTGTTCTATCTCTTAAAATTAGAAATTAAAGTTAATGACCTAAAACTGCAATAGCATATTACAGTGCAAGTGAAAAAATTGACAGTTTCACTCACATGTGTGTCGGATTTGCGCAATGCTTATGAGGTCCCACAAACGTTTCGTAAGTATTATGGGGTCCTGGGGGTCGCGAAAAAAATCTCAGTAATAAAAAGGAGTCGCGACCGAAAATGTTTAAGAAGCCCTGCTGTACAGCATGGAGACTGAATAAATGTTTTATCGAGGTACGGGGAAAGATTTACTTTGGTGGAATATTATGGAATGATACACTGCCAAACATATCATCAATATTGATATTACACAATAATTCTCCTTTCGTTATGTTTGTTTTTTTCGTTATGTTTGTTTTTTCGTTATGTTTGTTTTGAAAGGAGAACAATTCTTTAGGTTATGTATATCTGCCGCCGCCTGAGCGGTAGAGATTGCGGAGGCACTATGCACATCTTTGATTAAAATTAATTTATTTAACCTTATCAACTGACTACTTTTTGCAGATTTAAAGAAATGTCCACCTGTTACTATGGCATAAAAAGAAATATTTTTACATAGTCAGATTGCGACAGGTAATTGCCTGCCTGCTCTTCATTTACATCGAAACGAGAGTCAATCAAACATTTTTATCGTCATTTTCATAATCATTATCGCTAAATTGCTGAAGATTGGACACTTTCATATATGTAATAAAATGTTTATAAAACAAGTGTGTTTACAAGTTATTATAAATTCTCTAATTATTAAAATAAACAATAAATACATAAATTATACATTGTTTGAATAAAATTAATGGAAATGACTATAAGCTCATTTATTGTCTGAAAGATAGAAAACGTATATTATCGGATTTTTAGTCTATAATTGTGAAAGTATTATATTACTAATAATCATTATATCATCTATGCAAAATTAAGAGATAAATGAGCACGCGCACAAATTAAACTATAAACCTAGGTAACTGTGATTATCTAAATTAACTATAAACCTAATGGTGTGTAAATAACTGTATGTAGCTCACTCTTTTTAATTTCACCGAATGGGAAGAAATTTTCATTTAAAATATTTTGAAAGCTAGTAATTTATTTTACAATCTCTCTCACATAATCCGATAATCCGATAATGCGACGCACCATAGATAACGTTAAAATGATATGAATTTCAAATAGTAAAACTAAATCCTATATTAAACCATAATTTATGGCAGAAATAACAATGACTGTATTGAACCACAATTTATGGCAGAAATAACAATAACACTTATTTTAAAATATAAAAAAGCATACGGTTGAATTCTAAAAGATGTCTAAACCTCCCTGATACAAAACCAGTTTGGCTACAGAAATCTGGCAAAAGCAAACACACTTGAAACTCAAGCTTTATGGAAGATAATAATGGCTTTAATAATATATGCATTAATATATTTAATCATCTCCACGCAATCTATTTTTACTGTTTTAATAAAATAAGATTTAAGTGTTTCACGTCAAAGAATATGATATTTAAGAAATTATATTCGTTACCTTAATTATTTTTTTATATTTAAAATTAATTCTTGAAAATTAGCTGAAACTGCTACTGTAAAGAAAGGACTTAGCGATTCTATTCTTCATGATGATTTCGTGATGAAACAAAGATTTTCTTTAAATAAATTTTTAACTAAATACAGTCTCTTCTAATCTTTGAAGAAGAACGTTTCATCACACATTTTCTTAAAATGCATACATGTTTTGTCTAAACCAAAACTCAGTCTAAAGGAAAAGTTACATATAAATAAGTACCTGCATCGACTCACATTTAGGTATAGCAGTGTAGAATATTTTATGAAATGGGAAATATATCTATCATCATTCAAAGGCGCGAAGTACTTCATAAAGTTTAACACATTACAAAGTTTACTTCGAGACAGTTTTGTGACGAAATTATGGATTTTAATATAACACTCAGAATTCAAAAGATTATGTTTATAAAAATTAGGCGTTAACTATTAATTTATGCTTTTTAGATTGTTTCTTAAATTAAATGCTTTTTAGAATTAAACTATAGTTAATAAAAGCTATAGTACAATTAAAAATATAAGCGTTTCTTACCTGATAAATCTAAAGCTACGGTTTGTGCCCGCTGTCATGAATCCGTATTATGGAAATTCCCACCATGTTCGATATTGATAAGCACGATCGGATGAGAATGTTTCACAGTTATGTATTCCAGACCTGGAAAAGATATATCTGCAATGCGGTCAGTAAAGTTGCATCAAAAATCTAAAGCAACACAAGTTATATTCTGTCTAATCACATACAAATTTCATCAAATATGGATCATATAAGAAATTATCTCGGGAATACTTTGCTACATAATGATGATGTTAGAACTTAAATCGAAAAAATATTTTTAAAGTAATGTTTTTATATCATGTGCAGAAAAGCTTACACACGCTAGGTTATTATATTTAAAAATCGTAATATTTAACTGACAATATATATATATTAATTTGCATACACAATTAAATACAGCAGCTAGGAAACATATTAAAAGCAAAAATGTATATTCAACATTAATACCTTTTAAATATTAGTTACATTAATTTTAAAACATTTAAAAATAGAAGAAGGTTTAAAATTTATGCTATAGTAACATATATAAACTTTTTCCTTTCCTGTAACGCAAAAAACTGGAATTTAGCATTGAATAAATGCACAGTTAAATTAATTAAACCACACTTTGCAAACTAGCCTCTTTAACTGCCTGGAAAACAAAAACAACATTTCAATAAAATTATAAAAATTATAAATTCGACCGTGTTATCGTTTTGAAAAGAAGACATATTTGGGAATCAATTAGAAAATAAGTTATTTAATAATATATTTGAGTACTTACGCAAGTATGAATAAAATAACTATACTTTAATATTAATGCATTAAATTTTTATACATATGCAACTGAATTCTGATAATTTATCATCTTTCTACACTCATAAATTTTAAATAATATTCATGTTACAGAACAGTGTGCATTTTCTTTTAAAATCATGGTACTATAATCGTAGACAAGACTAAAGCAACTGCGTTAGAAATGTTTAGAAGAAGATTAAATGCATTTGTAGTCAAGACCTAATTCAACTATTGGTCTTAAATGCAGAAATCTATACCCTTCTCTTAAGGGGAAAAAATTTAAGGATTATTAACCAAAACAAGAAATGATTTCAAGAGAAATATAAGCTATTTAATATTAAGAATTAAGGAAATAACAAATCATATGCAATGACGCATATGTAAAGGATTTATGTATCTAATTTTTAACTATGTGAAGTATGGAATTGCCATTAATAACGAAACAAAACAGAATAAATTAAATTATTGAAAAGCTGGTACTATTTTACTCGAATTTTCATAACCGAAAATCACCACAAGTAAATATCAGTGAATCTTTTTCATGTTATCACTACCAAAAATACTTAATGCGTACAGCTACAATAACAAGCATTAAAATAATTAATCCGATTTTTACTTTTGTAAACGGTTCTTTAGATAATCTACACAATAATAATTTTCTTAAAAAGCACTTCTCACTTAATGATAAAAATTGGTAACATTTTTAAATTGAGCTTGTTGAGTTAACATCTTGAAATTATCAGTCGTTTTCAGCACATTTGCAACTAAATAAGTAAACTTAGAGAATTCTGAGTTTCGTATGTACTGTGTCCACAAACGTCATTACCCGGCTTGTATTTTCGCAATTGTTGATCGTAGACATAGACTCCCAGTTACAAAATTGGTTTAAATCACAGAAAATTACTTTATTTATCATTTTTAAATTTAAAAAAATCAGTTTTGTACATATTTTACCTTCCTTCGGTCCCAATACGTATATTTAGAAAACGTTTGTACTCATTATAAAAAGGTAAAACACAAATGGGTTGCCTCCTGTAAGAGAAAAATTGACCGAATTATTTAATTTCAAATTCTGCGATCACAATAAATTAAGAACTGCTCGTCATATCATCCCTTAGCATAAAAAATGGATTTTAATTTTTTTTTTAATTTTTAATTACGAACTGCAGATGCAAACATCTCGTTAGTTAATTTATATATGATGTATTATTTTGATTTATGATTCTCGATTTTAATATAAAATACCTTTTTTTTTGTCTTGTGGCAATTAAAAACTTTTGTGTGTGTTGTTTTTATATATATACAAGCAATAAATCTCATATTTTCAAGAGAAACCAGTCGGCAGTCCAGTATACAAAGCAACGAATTAAAAACTGTTGCCAAATCACATTTCCAAAAGAATGAAACTATCATCAGAAAGCAATTACCAATAAAAATTGTGCTTTGTGGAAAACATAATTCAAAATATACAAACCTCTTTGCCATGAGCTAATAAAGAGAGGGAGAGAGAAAAAAGGAAATTCTTTCTGTCTGTGTGCTTTACGAGACTCATGCAGGTCAGAATAAGAAGATAGCGAAAAAAACCATGCTAGACTTTTCAGTACTTAAAAACAGCGAAATAAGAAATGAATATATTATCTCATATTTTCTACAGTCAGCAGTCCTGTTTACAAAGTATTGGAGGAAAATCTGTTGCCACATTTCTAAAAGAACGAAAATATTCAAAATGATGCGATTTCATCAAAAAGATAAAATAAAAAAAATCCGATTCGAATTTTGAAAACGTCGCTTCGCGGTGCACTGGCTCTTCTCTAAATGCACCTATGTACCAAATTTCATAGCTCTGGGTCTATTAGCTTACGCGAAGCACGAACGAAAGACACCCACCCACATACAGACAGATTCTTTCTTTTATTATATGTAAAGCTAACGAAAAAAAATTCTTAAGTACGGTGACCGTACGAACGTGGAAAAAAGTTAAATATCGTATTTTAAACAAATTCTTTTTTAAATTTTAAAATATAAAATTAACATCTTTGCGTCATTTAAAATTTCTTTGTAAAGTTTTGTTGTTATTGAAAATTTTGTATTGCAAATTATTTTTTGTTTGTTATTTAAAGCATGTTTGTAAGTATATATCTATAACAACGATTTCAAAAATAAAGGCTGGTAAGAATTTTTTGGGGGACGATGTATACGTTTTGAGGCACATAACAATATAAATGAAAGCATTTCTTTTCTGTAATGCTCACTGATATTATCAAGATCGGAAGTAAACTTACCACGGAGTTGCGCGCTCCTGGACAACGAAAGAGTGCTTCTAAGGGAGTGCAATGAATGCAGTGAATGCAACGAATGCAAAGAATGGAGAGATGTCTTCTCGTGGTACACCGAACTTCTTGTATCCGACGACTCTGAAGAAGTAGTCGATGAGTAACGAGGACTTTCGGGACTAGTTGAGCGAGGAGAAGATGATAGATCTGATGGTTCCTGAAAATGAAGAATCATTAACATTGCAACTGATAGAGATTAGCGCTTCACATATTTCTCATACTTCTGTTTATAACAATGAATTCAACTAAAATACCCACAGCAAGCAATTGCAATCAAGCTAGCTTGTATTTTATATCTAGCTTACATTTTCAATCAAATCCCCCCCCGTTGTAGTTTTTATTTTCACACAATTTACTAAAGTTTTTTTCTTCTTTATTGACAATAATTTTTTTTTCTAGTTTCACTATATTTTCTTTGTAAATTTAAGCCAAATGCTTTGGTGGAAACGATCTTTAAAACACAAACTTGATTAAAACTTTTTTAAATGAAATTTTTAATTGAGTAATTAATTTGCGCAGCATGTTTTCAATACGAATTATGTAATTTTATTACAAGAGGCCCTTAGTACAAATTTTTTATTTTGCTTTATTATTAGTACATGTTTCTCCACTGTTTTTTACTGCGAAATCCAGTTTATATCTTCTGCATTATTCTACGTTACGGATTTTATATATGCATGTATTTTATCAAAATTTTAAATTTTTTTGGTACTACATTTCTCTTTCGATTTTCTACTTTCTTAAATTTCAGCCAAGGCAGTACTTGGGTGTCTATCGAGAAGGGAGAACTAAACTAAAATTGAATAATTTTCATTAAAATCGATTTCCCTGTCTTGTACATTAAAAAAAGCCTTCTATGTTTTTCATTTCTCGAGTCACTAACTCTCTGAAAACGATATTCAGAGAAATTTAAAATTGAAAAAGCATGTTCTTTAATTTAAGAATAGAAAATGATTTTTACTTTTCACATTTTTCGAAATTATAAAATATTTGATTGACCTTTTTTGAATGAGTTTCGATGTGTTCTGATTAAATGTATTTGAATACGTTTTCAAAACACTCTCGTTTATAATTTTGTTTTTAGTTTTACCACATAATTATTTTTTTTTTCATTTACATCAATTTTATTCAGTGCCTGCTTACACTGTTTTGAACGAATTTTGTTTTGGTTCTGTTGGAGAGAATTTTGTTACATCCAAACAAGAATTTTGAATTTGCCTTCAGTTTTTATTTTATGTAAAATTCTCCTTACTTTTTCTATATGTAACATATTCTCTCTTCGTATAAACCCTGTATATATAAAATACATACACACACACACACATATATATATATATATGTGTGTGTAAGAAAAAGAATATATAAATGGTTAAATTAGCAGCGTAAATTAATTTCCCTTTTCTGTTCTATAAATAGTAACACCTCTCTGCACTGCGTCCTTTCGAGAAAAATCTATGTCATATGATTTTAGGTTACAGCCGAAAACCTCGCGGACGAAAACGTCACGGAGAAAACAACGCAAGGCGAAAACGTCGTGCTGCAAAACATCGTGGGAGAAAACATCGCAAAGAGAAAACGTCGCTGTTCTAAAACATCATGCTACAAAACATAGTCGTCGAAAATAAAGCGGTTCAAAAACTTCGCAGTTTAAAAACATCGTCGTCGAAAGTATCGTGGTAAAAAATAAAGTGTCTACAAATCTTCGCATGACGATAGCATCACAGACATGCTTTTTTCATTCTTTAATAACTGTAAATGGATATTCCTATAATGATTTGTGAGTGCAAGATGGAAAGAAGTATAACTTTCATATTTTTTTTATTAACTAATAAATTTTTGCGGAGAACATAAGAAGGGAACTGAAGCAAGCAGTTAATAGAATTTTAAACCGACATAGTTAACTAACAAAGGCAATTAATAAATCATTTTTTATAAAGTTTTTACTGGTAATTTTTCTCGAAAAGTATAATCTATTAATTTTCTATGCATAATTTTCCTTCTTAATTTTTCAGCAAAAATTTATTAGTTAATAAATTAAAAAATGTGAAGTAAAAATTATCCTTCTTTACATCCTGCTCTCACAAATCATTATGGGAATATCCATTTACAATTATTAAAACCTGAAAAAAAAAGCATATCTGCGATGTTATCGTCATGCGATGATTTGTAGATACTTTACTTTTTACCACGATATTTTCGACGACGATGTTTTTAAACTGCGACGTTTTTGAACCGCTTTGTTTACGACGTCGATGTTTTGTACCGCGATGTTTTAGAACTGCAATGTTTTTCTTTGCGATATTTTCTCCCACGATGTTTTTCTTTGCGATATTTTCTCCCACGATGTTTTTCTTTGCGATATTTTCTCCCACGATGTTTTTCTTTGCGATATTTTCTCCCACGATGTTTTTTAGCACGACGTTTTTACTTTGCGTTGTTTTCTCCGCGACGTTTTCGTCCGCGATGTTTTTGCCGCGATGTTATCGGCGGACACCGATTCTTAAGTAATTATGATGATGTAAATGAAACTTAAACTCAACCAGCCAATAGTAATATTAGAACAATATTAACTATTCAATCAAAATGCTTTGAGAACCAAAACTAACTCAGTTTCACTTCAGATTTCATCCTGAATATTTTTAGTGGCACACTTTTGTTCAAACAACAAAATGTACTTGTCAATAGGAAAATCACTTTTTGATCCGTCAAAAATTGAAAATTAAAATTTTGCAGCATCAATTGTAACTGTTGATTCTGTATTTGTTGCTATTTTACTTTTAGATCCAATTTTGAATATGAAATCAACAATAAAAACATTTTCACATTACATTTGAAAAACGCATAATTTCGGAGCCGAGGAAAAACAGCACGGGAGAGCAGATGTCGACGCACTGAGCTTGAACCACATTTGCAGTAGACGTTGAAAACTAGATGAAGCGCATTAAATAATCCACAGAAGCTTTTTCCCCACACAAGAATAACGTCCTGTCGGCTAAACTGTGATATTTCGGCATCTAAGTTCAGGCATGCTTTTTGCAGAGTGGTAATGCTAATCCAAATGAAGAGGCAATATGATTTAGTTTTTAATGGTACATCTTTATTCCATAGCTTTTATTCAATTATCACTGTAGATCATTTATTCGTTACTAAAAAAGAGTATTTAAACTTTAATGCGTCATAAACTTATTCAAAGAGAGCAAGCGCAGTAGCGTAGACCAGTTGTAATAAATTCAGGAGCAGGAATTTTGATTGCGTAGAACTGCTGATTCATAATGACTAGGAAATTGGAGGCGAATGCAGATTAAATCTTCAGTTTTATTTTCAGCAACATGTTGCAGCTACACACAAGTCGTAACATTAAATGTGCCTGTTCCAAAAGGCTTACATTTTTTATAAGATTTGTAGCAAGAATGCAGAGTAGACAGACAGCAGTGCAGCTAGGAAAAAGCGTGGAAAGCAAGTGCGTTATGTTAAAAATATGAAGTGAAACTGACTTAGTTTTGGTTCTGAAAGCATTTTTATTGGATAGTTGATATTGTTCTAAAATTACTGTTGGCTCGTTAAGTTCCATTTACATCATCATAATTACGTAAGAATCAAATGACATAGATTTTTCTCGAAATGACGCAGTGCAGAGAGGGATTACTATTTATAGAACAGAAAAAGGAAATTAATTTACGCTGCTAATTTAATCTTTTAAATATTATTTTTCTTACATATAAGTGATGTAATTTTTGCGGAAGATGAAACAATTCCCTTTTTAGTCACAGACTGGAAAAACTTCTGTGTAGATCTAACTGGAGTGAAAATTACAACTAGTTTGTTGATTAAAACATCATTTTCATTTTGAACAGGAATAATCATTCAGAAATACATTTCTGCTCAAAGTGGTATAAAACGTTTTGCTTAAAGCGCTCCATGTAATTTCTATATACGCAGCTTACGTTTCAAATAACAGAAAAGAAGCTTAGCGAAGAGACGTGGCATTCCTTCGCAGAGCAAGAAGCAAAAGAATCATGCTTGATAACTACAATAGAATTTATAAGCTTGAAAGGTCTTTATGTTAACCTGAGTAGCGTCTGGGCAAATGATTTTGCCTAGTGGTTATCGCAGAGAAAGCATGCTGTAAATTAGTGCAATACGTACGTAGCCTTAGAGAGGGAATGTGTACAATCAAAATTAAGAATTTAAAGGACCATTCCAATTAAGTTTTATTTGGAAATTAACTTTTCTTCACATTTTGATATCTTACATTATAATTAATGCTTTCTATTAAATTAATAAATTTCTATTAAATTATACTTTATCCTAATAAGTTTGCTCCTATATTCACTCTTAGATATCATTCGTTCTTCTGTCATTTTTCAATGGCACATTATCTTTATTTAAGGAATTTGATCCAACATAATAAATTTCAATAATAAGGACATCAAAAGTAATTTGCGTCTCGTTTATACACTTGAAATCCTACATAAATTAAAAAAAAATATGTTTAACAAAATTTCTTACTGCATAAATTGAACTGTTTAAGAAATCTTATTTTGTTATGCAGCCGCAAGCTTGTCGCGAGTTTAAAGCAGTTAGAATCCCAGCTCAGTAATTCTCTGAGCATTTCAAAAAAGTTTTTTGAATTTTTGAATTTTTTTATATTTTAATCGAGAAATATAATCGAAATGCACGAAAACATAGCAGCAATACAAACTAAATAAACTAAAACTGAAACAAAACAAATAAAACACAAACTAAATAACAAACAAAAATAAATTTCTCACACAAAAAGCAAATAATTTGTATATATATAAATTAATATCTATGTATATGTATAAATTAATATATTTATTCTTTCAAGACAATCAGCAAGCATGTGGCTGCTGAGCATATTTAACACCTAAGTATCCTTAGGTTATCATGATAAGTTAAGCCTAATGCTACATTTTTTTACTTCTCTTTACACTGTTTTGAATATTTTGTCTATGGAAGGATATTTACTTTCCATCATAATGTCAAAAACGTCTATCAAACCAACATGAACGAACCATGAAAGAATTTTCTCAAATTTTAGCATTTTTACACCATGACGCGATGTGGATTCTCGATAATGTTATCTTAAAATATTGGCATTTTCTTCTTCTTTTTTTTTTCCTCTTTGCAAAATATTCGTAATTTTTGTCTAATTTACTCAATAATTCTGACTTTTATAATATAAGCCTAATTTGATTATCTGACATTAAGTAACATTCTTAAAAATCTTAAATTAAATTACGAAGGGAAATCGGTTGTAACGCTTATAATATACTTATTCACTTTAGTTCTTTACCCTTTATAACAGTGGTCTCAAACTCAAATTGACATGAGCCGTATATCCATATGAAAACAGTTGAGAGGCCAACATTTTTTTTAACCTAATTAATTTTTTTATGAACCAAGGAACAAATATTTTAAATAAATTTCAAGTTTAGCTTATTAATATTTTTTCAAAACATATATAAACAATAATAATAATATCGCAAATGGGAAAATCGTACTTATCTTTAATTTCTATCTAAAATCTAAAATTTTGTACTTGGGAGACATTTTACTTTGTTATTTGGATTAATAGGAGTCCCTTAATGCAAATATACTAGCAGCTAAATATTAAACTTTCAGACTAACTTTTATATAAAATAGTTCTAATATTTTAATTAACCATTAAACACTTTAACTTGAACTGAAAGGAACTTTTCAGAGAACATTTTTCAAGTAGAACAAAACTTTAGAATAAATAATGATAATTTAAACCTTTTCTTCAATTTATTAAATTTTTCTTTGACGCGTAAATAAAAATAAATATGTTTGTATATAAATAATTATAATCATCTTTTATTTCTTACTACAGCTGAACACTTGATATTGTTTCGATTCCTTTAAAGTTGCAACCTTGGGCGAAAATTACTAAAAATTATTTTAATCATGCAATGTAGATGTTTATTGGTTTTTTATCTTATGGATTTTCAGGTGTGAAAAAAGGTTGTTCACTTATAACTGTATTTCCTACAAAACGATTATTCTTAATGGAAAAATTCGCAACTGATTTTTTTTTAAATTGTAAATTAGTTAGCTCCATATACAATTTTCTAATGCGTTGTTCAAGTTAGTTTCTAATGATAAAAAAAAACAATATTACTTCGGATAAACTCGGTAAAAATTTAAAATCTTGAAATCTTTGTAACACTGTATTTGCAACAAATTCATAATTGAATTGTCACCGCTGGCCGAATAAAACTGCTTCGGGGGCCGGCAGTTTCAGACCAATGCCTTATAGGAATCTCGATATTTATTAGTTTCTGAAAGCAGAAAATTGCAAGTTGTGAGACATGTATTCTGATTATTGCATTGAAGAAATGTTTTGCTATATCAGCTGTCTGCCTATGCAAGGTCTGAAAACTTCTGCAAAACAAATTTTGTATTAGTCCATCTCTATAGTCAGGCTAAAGAAACATTCGCCTTCTAATTAATAAAAAAACTAGTTGGATATATAATGGAATTAGCATGACAACAACCAAATAGTGCATTCTTTGCTTTGAATAAAGAAATGCAGTCATTCTTCCGCAGGTTACTGCACACTAGAATTCCCAATGAATGAAATACTTTCCAAGCCGAAATACTGGGCGTCAGTGAATCAGTTAAGTGGATATCAAATCATTATTCGTTAAATTGTAACTTTCTTAATTGCTTTGAATTTATTTCATCCATATATTCTCTAATGAATATCTTTTTTATACATAAACAGTCATTCCTCATGCGATTCTTAAAAAGCTTAATAATAAAGGTGACGATATCGTCCTTCATGTACATAACTGCACTAAGAATCTAGGAAATGAAAAGACTGATTGGTTTGCAAAACAAACAACAAATCTTCAAGTTAATACCACAATGATATCATTGTGGTATACTACCTAAGCTATGCTTCAGGAAATATAGTTAGAATAAACCAGTTCTCATGTGGAATGATGTATGCGGAAATGCTTCTCTGACTAAAATTATTTTTTCTTTCTATTTCTTACACACACAAAAATTTTTTCTGAAATTTTGAAATTATTAAATTTCTGAAAATCCTGGCCTTTGTAATTTCAACTCATATTGAAGAAACTTGTGCTATCTTATCCAGACTTATGTTTCTGTAGGTTCAGGTGTTTAAAATGCCAAAAATTTATTCTTTTACTTTTCAAAGTTTACGAAGGGAAGAAAATAATTAATTTTTCAGGCTGTAGAGTCATTAGGATTTTTGTGGAAGCAAGACAGATTGAAAAATTAGCAACTCGCCAAGAATCGAACCCCGGACCTCTGGAATACGCGCTCAGTGTGCAGACCACCACACAACGAAGGCACGCTAAGAAGGCGGGAGAAATACCTTATATACTCCCCCCTTTTAAAGGGCGACTGGGGTTTTTAGAGGACCCAATCGTCAAATCCTGGGTTTGGAAAATTATGAATCACAACCCTTTTAAAGTGAAAAATGAGCAACGCCTCCGCCGGGAATCGAACCACGGAAAACTGGAAAACGCGCCTAGCGTGCAAACTACCACACCATGAAGGCACGCTAAGAAGGCGTCAGAAAAACCTTAAGGGAAATTATTTAGCCTTTAAATCCTCCCCTCATGTGTTTTTTGGTGATAAAATGGTATTATTTTCCTTCTGTATATTTATTTCTAAAGTTTTATCTGTGAAGTGGTAACTTTATGCTGTTTTGTGTTCTGTTGATGTATTTGTTTACTTATTTTTGTAAGCCTTGCCTAAGGGATACACGATGAATTTAAATATTCTTAAAATAATAATAATAACAAGATATGCTGAACCTAGAGTCATGATGACGCAAATGTCTCAATCATCTAGATTACTGGATAAATCAAACAACAAGAATCAGTGTTATGTTTGTAAATTTTTCTATTGCTATTTTATTTCTAAATCGTTTGTTTGACTACAGAACCATCGAAACAAGTCCTTCAAAAATATAGAAATATAACGCTGATTCTTGGTGCTTAACGTCTCAAATAATCATCTAGATTGTTATGTTTAAAAATAGCTGATACATGTAGTTTAACTGAAATGTATGTTTTGTTTCGGCGATCTGTTAAACGCTTGGGGGGAAAAATAAGTGTATGTCATTTTAGAAATTCTTACATATTATTAAGTTATAAAAATCTAACTAAATTTTATAAATGAGTCTTTTGAAAATGACATGCATTGAAATGAAGACTATTGACACTTGCAACATGCTAAACAGGAAGATTTATTAAAAAAATGGTGAAACCTGCCTTTGTCTTTACCTTAGTCTCTGCAAGGCACTTTTGGTTCTCATCAGATATTTCCGTTGTAGTGGGACCCATTGCTGCGTGTATATTGTTGACGGAACCCCTGCTTTCTTTAATGGGCCCCTCCTCTGAAAAAAATTGAAAAATTTCATGAAGTTGCATTTTATCTTTAATATCGTAATAAATTTACATTTAATAACAAAAGCATTTTTATTTCAAACATGTCTTTCTGAAACCATCAGACAAATACTAAAAACACAAGCTCACGTTTATTGTACAAGACGCTTTAAAAATATTGCAAATCTAAATATGTATCGAATAGCTGATTGAAGTACCTTGTTTTCAATTTAAAGTGCTAATCGCAAACTCATGCTTCAGAGTTAAAAAATGTATCAAATAAAGTAAGTTTCCAAATTATTACAATTTTGGTCATATGAAGAATTTACTAAACATATGCAAAATTAAATTTTTACATGGGACATAGAGACGTTGTTCAGGAAGATTGCACAAAATTTAAATTTCCCTGTTGCGTCCTTAAAAACTGCGTTACAATTAGTTAAAATTCTTATAACTTTTTTTAAAGAAAGTTTTAGTTAGTAAATTGTTCCTTGCTTCGTTAAAAATCTTTTACACAAAATGAATGTATGTTGCAATATGTGAAACTGTCTCTGAAGAAATGTTAATTTTTCTAAATTAAACTATCTTTATCTGATAAAGCGATATTCAAAATTATCCACTTTAAGTTCCGGATAAAAGCTAATTTTCCTTTCCATGCAAAACTTTGCTTTGTAACATTGCCACAAAATAGGAATTTAAAACGTATATTTATACCTTGCAATTCGATTCGTAATGAAAGCTATCTTTTAAATTATGTGTATTTTTAAATTAAGGTATAGAAGAAAAAAAAAGCCCGCAAAATATTTCTTACTCTAAATCGAAAGAAAATTTTATATTTACATTATATTTCAGTTTAAGGACATTCGTGTTTTATAATTAAGTTAGAAATTTTGATTAATCATTTTTGATTTTGTCATAAGCGATTGGAGAAAACATGAGACGTACGCCTGTGTACCAATATTAGACATCAGGTGTCCCTGCTCTCGGTCACCAGTCAAAAGAGGATAAGACGCTGAACGTTAGTATTTGATTAAGTTTACTTAATTACGGCAAAGCACACGAAGGCTAAGAGGAGGGAAGCCTTCGTGGAGCACATTTTAAAGAAAACTGGCTCATATACATGTTACACTTGGGGGAAACTACGAAAACGCCCATGTAGGTAGCCAGTTCGCTGGAATTCGAAATCGGACCGAACTACCAGAGTTCATCGACTTTACCGCTCGGCCTCTTCCACAGGTATTTTATAAATTATAATAACCGTGTAGTGTCATTAGGCTCTTTTGAAGCAGGAGACTTTAAAAATGTGCATTTCCCTCCCAGGGACTCGAACCTTGAACCTCCCGAATATGCGTCGCGTTTGCTTCCGAAGACACCACGAAGGCATGCGGAAATAGAGAAACAATACTATGTAAAGGAAATTTAGAATATAGCTTCGATTTTCAAGTATGTACTAGGTATAATGAAGAATAATAAAAAGAAAAGATAGCTTCCCATCTTACACATTTAAGGAAATACGTGCGCGTTTTATTTAATGCTTTAATATGAGAATGATATATAGGAATGCATATATAGTAATGGGAATTGCTAACATGATTAATGTTTCCAAAATAGTAATTATGGTATTTCAACAAGTAATAGCATCCATTACCAATCATTCAGCCTTGCAGGTGTGTGTATATTTAATTCTCATATTGAATTTGTTGTTGGATCGTATAGCATCGATTACCTGAGCTCAGTGAGAACAAAATGGTTTCTTAAAATGAATTTCTTCGAATGCTGATTTTTTCCTACTGTATTACGTAGTTAAGACATTTGACATTATAATACGTAATCAAGACAAACTTTGTCCACCGAAGAAACTCATGAATTTATCTCTCTCTCTCTATATGTATTTAGAAGTTGTTAACATAGAGATGCAACAGGAAGTAGCTTGCAGACATGGGACAATATAATATTTCTTTATCTTCTGACAAACATTTTTGTTTCATGACTGATAAAATGGCGAATTAATTTCACATTTTTTATAGATGCTGCAGTAAGAAAACAGCAATTGCAATCCAGCTAGACATAGAAACACACAGAAGAGCGAAGTGAAATTTCGTCCTTATGTTTGGTACTGACGAACGCTCAGTAATGTCGACGAGAAATTAAGCAGAACATACTGAACGTCAAATTAATTTTTGTTCTAAATCTAATGAAATATAGATGATGAAAAAGCCTGAAAACATTACTTGGAAGAAATTATTGTACGTATTGCAGATCGTCGATATCAAACGTTAGTTTTTGACAATTCGGTGACTTTTACACCAGGCACATCTGTTTATCAATGATTTCTTTCTTAATTTCAACGGCCATGGCTTCCATATTTTTATTTGCAGCACTGTCTGAGACAATAATCTTCTTGCGAGGCATCGCGAAGTAATTATTTTCACGTGAAATGTAAAAAAAAAAAAAAAAAAAAAAAAATTATTTCCAAGCCCACAAACACGTAGATCAAAGAACATTGAGCGATCTGACGAGGGGATTTCCCGAGTCGAGCCGGATCGGAAAATAGCGCCACTCATACAAACAGCCTGGCTCATTGTTTATTACTCGAGTCAATGCTCGTATTTAGAGACGAATTTTTCCCTCATACTTTCCTCGTATCTCGAATTCCTCGTATATAGAGGTGCTAGTATCTCGAGGTTGCACTGTAATAGGATAATATTATCCTTCATTCCTCAAAAAACAGATTTTGTCAGCAACGCTTTTAAGCAACGTGTATTAACTTTTAAGCAACTTTTTAGCAACCTGTGTCATTACATTCAAACTTCCCCCCCCCAAAAAAAAAAGATAGAAAATCTACATTTCTGCTGCTTTGTTTAATTTTCTGGAGATAGTTCTGCGTGTTCGTAAGTGCCAAAGATTTGGATGTTATTCATTTCGCTCTGTGCTTCTATGGGTAGCTAGATACCTGGAGCAGCTTTTCTTGAGCCAACATCTTAAAAAATATAAAATTAATTCAAGAATGGATGCGCTTAGAATGGGTTGGGCAGTTTAACAGTGATGCATTAAAAATGCTTATCAACGAAAATAAAGAATTATTAAATCGAGGTGAATGCAACTATATTTTATGGTAACACATTTCACACCATTATTTATAAAAGAATACATATATACAAATTAAAATCCAGGTAATTTGATGTTTTCTTCTTTTTCAAATTATTTATTTTATGTTACACAAGAAGTTATTTTTTACTGATTATCTTTAAGTTAATCAGTTTAAAATTTCTAGTTTACACTACAAATTTGCCATTCGTTCAACTAAATACTACAACTTTTTCTATTTGTTGAACGTAAATTGGTAGTTTTTAGGATTCATATACAGGTAAGCTGATGTTTCTTTTTAAAATTATTTCTTTTTAAAATTATTTCTTTTTTAAGTTATTTCTTTTTTGATTATACAATGGAAATTTGTCTTACTGTTTTTATGGAGTTTATAATCAGTTTTAAATTCGTAGTTTATCTAAATTCATTATTTAACACAGTTTAGGTTTTGCCACTATGCAGGGCTGCATATACTTATTTATAATATTGTGGAGACATGAGGTTTTTTAAAAGCGGGAAAGATGAAAAATGAGCAATGCCTTCGCCAGGAATCGAACCACGGGCATCTGGAATGCGCGCCCAGCATGCAGACCACTACACCACGAAGGTACACTAAGAAGGCGGGAGAAATACCTTATATACTCCCCTTTTAAAGGGCGACTGGTGTTTTAGGGGACCCAATCGTCAAATCATGGGTGTGGAGAACCATCATTCCCCACCCTTTTAGTTCGGGCGCCACTGTAGAGAGATTAGGTTATTTCGAAGCCGGAAAGATGAAAAATGAGCAACGTCTTCGCCAGGATCGAACCACGGAACTCTGGAATACGCGCGCAGCAGGCAGACCACGAAGGCACGCTAAGAAGACGGGAGAAATACCTTATAATATATTTAATTGTAAATACACAACTTTTAATTTCAAACTTTTCGTTGCTTTTGTGTTACAAATTTATAATAACTAACTCCTCTTTTTGTTATTTTAATTCTTATATTGCATATTTTTTAGATGAAATTTTCATTTATTTCTTTCATTTTACCATATGTTGAATTATTTTTGCTTCAAATGTGTTTGGACTCGGTTAACTCAAACAGAAATTTTTAATTTTATTTTATTTTGCGTTATGGTAAACGCCCAAAATTATATCTTAAAATATTAAAATATTATGTGCACTTTGTACGGGTGTAATGCGTGCATTTTGTATGGGAAATACGAAGAATATTATTAGCTTGCTAAAATATTCTGTCGAACAATCTGAACACAAATTTCATAATTATACTAATTAGCTTTTTCATCACTACTGCATTATGTAAATTTAATTAAGATGTGTTTACATTTTATTTTATTTTACACAAAACGTCTAAGTTTGATTAATGGACTTTATTTGTAAGAATATTTAACATTCGATGTTTAGCCTGTTTCTATAGTTTGCTTTCTATAGTACATTAAATTAGATTTTCGCTAAAATTACGAGTAATTAGGGCGAAGGGATTTTTAATTCGTTATTAGAAAATTATAGATAATCTTTATAACTTTGCAATCACAAGTAAATGATTTCTTACAGGTGTTTAATTTTTAATATTGAAGTCGAGTTATGGATAGTGTACCGTAGTTAGTTCCTACAGTTAGACAAAAAAAGAACCTTATAAGTCAGCTTATAAAAAAAAAAAAAAAAAAAAAAAAAAAAAAAAATGTATTGTTAGTGGGTACTTCCTTGCAAACGAATGGATGAATGACTCAGCTTTGTTGCTTCTTAAATTGTTTTATTTATGTGTAATTAAGCAACGTCTTACTAAAAAAGGGAAATTCTGTTTTATTTAATTTAGGTTAAAAACAATAAAAAAATAAAAATTATAATTTTATTATTTATTATAGATGTTTAACACTGTGATCCAGAAGTCATCTAATTAATATTATTTTAATTATTCG